TACAGAATAGCTTGCACCTGTAAGGCAAAATCCCAGAGCAAACCAGGAAGCATATACTGTATAATAATATAGCATAAGCTATAAATAAATAAATAAACATGCACTATTTTAATTATTAAAAACTGCATACAGAACTGAACAAACACAAACCGCTTAACTACTCTAGGAGTCATTTTGTGATTTAGGTCTAATTTTTATGGGATGTCATTTAAAGTAAAAGTTTAATCATGTTGGTAAAGATGTCTGAGCAATTTTGTATTGTTTTCATTCATTCATTCATTCATTTATTTTCAGTAACCACTTTATACTGGTCAGGATCATGGTGGATCCAGGATCTATCCCCGGAACCCTGAGTGTATGGTGGAAATACAAACAGCATGGGGCACCATTCCATTGAACACACTCAATCACATCTAGAGGTAACTTATCATAGCCAATCCACCTGCCGGGAGGTGGGAGAACATGGATGAAGCTCAAATGGACACAAGGAAAACATGTGGACTCCACATAGTAAGGAAGAAGAAAGTTGCTTTCAGTTATTTCAGTCAGATGTTTGTTTGTTTTTAAGTGTCAGTTGATGCATTGGAAAGGTTTGGAAGACGTTGGCTGCTCTATAGCTCCTTACTTCTTGCTGCTTTAATTTACTGGTCCATTTGTCTGCTTTTTTAATTTGCCAGCTCTGTTGAATGCCTGATTGCTTAATTAAGTATGGGCGAAGTTAAAATGATAGATTTTTAGACTTTCGCTTGTATTTTCTCATTTATAAGTCACTTTTGATAAAAAGCGTCTGCTAAATGAATAAACGTAAATGTAAATGTAGATTCAATATTTAGATTTGACTTAAATCTAAAGCAAAGCATGCTATATTATCCAACCGTCCATCCAATTCTATCCAATTTTACCCATATCATCAAATTCCATCCATCCATCCAATTCAATCAAGTCAGCAGAAGTGGGTTTAGTAGCCAGACATTTAACTCAAGCACAAGTAAAACTAGTTACTAATTACTCATATAACAGTAAAAGTAATAATGTTAATAATGACTTAAGTAACAGTAATAAAGTACCCAATGAGAAGACTACTCAAGTAGCAAATTACTAGGTACTTCAGATCTGATTAAAACGAAGGCAAAATCCTGAATCTCAGACTACATGAAGAACTGTAAGTCACACCTCTCCTTGAAGAGTGTGTGTGCGTATGTGTGTGTGTGTGTGTGTGTGTGCGCGTATGCGTGCGTGTGTGTGGATGCGTGTACGTGTCCTGCCTCCTTTTCCCCCCTCTTCAGCCATTATCTTCCAGGACTGAGGAGGATAATGTCATGAATTATCTGCCAATAAACCAAAAGCAGGTTTGAGCTGAATGTGCCTGTCCATGAAATGTCATTTCTATTCCCTAAATTTACTAAAACTTTCTCAGTTGTTAATACTGCTTCATTAAAAAGCAAAGCTTCTACTCTTGTGATTTTAAAATTGAGTCCAAAATCCCAGAAATAGCTCGTGCTGCCTAATGAAGTTCTCTGAAGATTTTAATAGACCTGATCTTTTCCCAGGAGAAAAAGAATGTCATTTAATTACATTGGTTTACTAAGATTACCTTAAAAGTGATTTTAATGATCCTTGGTAAATTGGCCTTTTGAAATTCTCCTCACTACATCTAATCATTCTCTTGAACTGGGCTCTAACTCGTCCATAAGAACATTATCAGTTTAGGTTAAAAAAAAAAACCAAACAAACAAAAAAAACATGCAGTTTATGCATTTTTTGCTTTTCTCATCCATAATGAATTACAACTCGAAACCTCTCAGCCTAACCATAATATTTTAACCTTCATAATTAAGTTATGAAAATGATACACTGGTTTATTGATCCAATTTCATTCTTTCAGTTGTGTATTTTCTCCAATAACCCCAGCATGAAGGCACAACTGAGCATATTTTATCTTTTTTGTTTTTGTGTCTGTCAATAATCAACACCAGAAGCTGTGAATGTGTACTTAATGAATGTCCTCAACAACTTCACACTGTTTTGGTTGCAAAATAAACCCTCTACACTTGTGATTTCACAAATTAGTTTACAATCGAAGAAACACACTCCTAGAGCCCAGTAATATTCCTTACGTATAAAAATACAATATGCGGGACATGCTGTTACAGGAAATTAACCAACAACAGGTTGGTGTGATACATCCCAGCAAGAAGCAGAGTTAATGTTATCACCCCCAAGTTGATTGTTTCCCTATAGCATTGCATTTTATTCCTCTTATACCACAGCAGGTACACGTCATACATTTAAACAGTTATAGTTATGTTTAATGTAGTGGAACTTAGTTCCTGTTTTCTCTTACATTACAGCAGCTATAAACAGTCATTTCCTCACATTTCCTCTCTCTTGAAATGAATAAGAGAGGAAAAAATTGACTGAAAGTTACAACGCACTGACACTGGAGACTCCTTCCAAAAACATTCAATAGAAAAAACAACAAAACATCACCTTATCAACAATGATTCATTTTTTACTTAAATCTGTTCACTATTAGCTAAAAAAAATAGCGTAGATCATCTGCCATGCAACATGTTTTCTATAGTTGTTACTATAGAAATGATAACGTATTAGAAAAACAAACAAAAACAACAATAAACAACAAAACCTCACCTTATCAACAATGATTCGTTTTTTTTCCTTTCTTAAATAGCAACACGTATTTAAATCTGTTTACTATTAGCTATAAAATAGCGTAGATCATCTGCCATGCAACATGCTTTCTACAGTTGTTACTATAGAAATGATAATGTATTAGAACAAGTAACTCTCAGAGCTGCTGATACAGAAAACAAATCAACACCATTTTTAACAAATTCCACAACACAGTGATCTTTTAAGAGGTCTGACGCTTTCCCAGGTGTAAAACAACTGTAATTTAATCACACAGGTTTCCTAAGACGAGCAAGTGTTTGAGCTGATCTCTAAAACCCTTTTGAAGGTCAGGTTTGTTGCAAACTCCTTGTAGAGACAAGGGGTGGGGGGTGGGCATAGAGGAGACAGGATGGGGGATTTCATGGGGAAATCTTAATTTAGCTGTTTATTTTTACTTAGTTTAGCCCATAGTGCTTACCTCTTGCTTGGATCTATTGTGTCACTTCCAGCTGTCAGTCAACGGGCCCACCTCCTGTGTTTTAATTAATTTCCTGACCTCTGTCCAGGAGAATAGGCTTATAATTACCCATCTAGAGTGCCTCCGTGCCACTCATTGCATGCCACTACACCTGAGCATAATTATCAGCTATGACTGGTGACATTTCCTCACCACTTTTTAAAAGTGCAGTTCATTAAATTAAAAATAATAATAAATCATATATAAACAAGTGGCTAAAAAAACTAACATAAAGTGCTTTTGTAAGGTGTTGGGCCACCACAAGCCACAAGTCTTTGGAATGGCACTAAAGGAACAAACACAGTCCTATCAAGAAATCGTTCGGTACTTTGATAATGATAATGATGATAATGATGATGATGATGATAATGATGATGATGATGATGATGATGATGATGATGATGATGATGATGATAATGATGATGATGATGATGGAGGAGGAGGAGAGATCTGTCTAACACATTACTCTAAAATCTCCCATTAGTGTTCAGATCTGGTGATTGTGAAACCATAGCATGTGATTTACAACATTTTCATCTTTATTAAACTGTTCACTGAGCCCATCTGGCCATTCTTCTCTGACCTCTCATCAATAAGTCATTATCCCATATATCCACAGAACTGCTTCTGCATGTTTTTTTGTTTGTCGCTCCATTCTGTGTAAATCCCAGAGAGTGTTGTGTGTAAAAATCTTAGGAGATCAGAAGCTTCTGAAATACGCAAGCAATCCTGGTATCAGACCAGACACATTAGTGCTGGAAAACATAAAAGAATTCTGAAAAGATTGTTATTATAATTTCAGAAGAACTCTAAACATCATGCCTAATCTGAAATGTTTGTGTGTGGCTTTATGTACATACCATATATGACACCCACCCTCCTGCGATCTGCAAGTAAATCCTTCCTAAACATTTAATGGCTTCTTTTTATTTTTCTTCTAAATATCAATCCTTGAAATATTCAAACTGTCATAATAAAGTTTGCAAAAAACCTCACTCAAAACCAGGATAATATTCCACTCAAGCCGAAGCTAAAATATCTGTGTACTGTGTAATGAAAATCGGTGCAGTAACATTTTTGTTCCTTTGCTGCACACGTTTTCATCCATGTTGCACCTTGCACGTGAAAGAACACGGCCAATTACTCATAGTGTCAGCAGGCTGTGACGTAGGGTAGTGCTACTACGTAGGACACAGGGGGAATTCAGCTTTAACTGCACCCTGACCTACATACCTGAGCATGCTGCTGTTGGTGCTGTTGCCCTAAAAAAGGGACGGTGACAGAAGCAGGAAGTGGAGCAAGGGGAGATGGGGACTGGGTGTGATTAAGGTAATAAAGTAGAGTGCAGCGGAAAAACAGAGAAGGTAAGAAGAAGGTCATGAAAGGGAATGAATAACTTCGCAGCAGAGAGAAATGGTTTACTTCCTTTCTCCAGTCTAGTGCTCGTTGCTGAAATCTGATCTATAAAGGCAGTTAAAGCGATCTGGTTACATGACATTAGACACCAGATAGAGACACCATCCACTATGCTGTATGTCAAAATGTCAAGTCTTTTTTTACTCCTAAACTCCATTGTGTCATTTGTAGCCTCCCACTTGTCAATCTCTTTTCATGTCTGGCTCCTGCACCATATTGATCTGCTTCTTAAACTGACTGCTTATGTCCCAATTCCTGACAGCTCTCTGCCCCCAAACTAATTTTCTCAAGTGCTCAGCTATTCTTCAAATGGTCAAAGGCATCTTCCTCAGGGATTCCAGACACATCAGTGGCAAAGTTCAGCAGTCAGCACTCAACGGTGTTGTCCTACATCTAAAGCCATTTTTGAAAAACCTTTTTTTTTCTTCCCTTCAGTGTTTTGGCTTAGTGGTTAGCATGTTTGTCTCACAACTCCAGGGTTGGAGGTTCGATTCCTACCTCCACCATGTGATCATGGAGTTTGCATGTTCTCCCTGTGAGGAGTACATACCTCCGGGTACTCCGTTTTCCTCTCCCAGTCCAAAGACATACATTGAAGGCTGATTGGCTTGTCCAAATTATCCATAGTGTGTGAATGGCTGTGTGTGATTGTGCACTTCAATGGTTTGGCACCCCATACAGGACGTCCACTGCATTGTGCCCAAGTCCCCCGGGATAGGCTCCAGGCTTCCTGTGACCCTGTATAGGATAAGTGGTACAGAAAATGGATGGATGGATATTTTATCCTCCCTCCAACATGAAAACACCACCACCTGGAAAAAAAAAACCCCACCATAAAATGTGGAGAAATCTTCTCTTTTTTTCATATGGATGGGAAAGATGCTGATGTCACAACGGCACCCTGTACGTGTTTTTCAGCATTTTTTCTTCTCTAACACTCAATTCACATGCTTTTAATGTTATTCCTAGACGTGTATGACTACTATCACTTTCGTTTTCTCATATGAATGTTTGAAAAATTGCTTCACTACAGCTTACAACACAAACTTAGGCAATGCAACAACAACAAAAAAATTCCTGTAGGCCATTTCACAAGTTTGTTCAACATAAGTTCAATCCTAAGCCATAGTGTTAAGTTGATCCGAAACCATACATAGTTTAAAACTAGAATTTCAGTTGCACCACGGATACTTAAGGTACCTCATAACCTGTAGTGCATTAAAAAAAAATTCATAGCGTAATACTGTCTCACAAAGAGTGACGCATTACATCATCACTAGCCAATCAGAAACGCAATTCAACATATAAAGGAAATACTGCATACACAATCAAGAATAATAAATGTCTTTTGTTCCCAGTGTATGCCTTTGATTCTTGTATTTTAGTATTTTTAGTACTTTGTAAACTTGAACGAATTGGTCATTTACGTTCAAGTTAGGTTTACATTCTTCTGGTGTAACTGGCTGTTGTACTCGGAAATGCAGCTCATTCATTATTTGTGGAAAATAATCAGAAAATATATATTTTATTTTTATATTTTCATATAACCTATTTTATGCGGCATAGAATCTATTTTATAATGTTGGTCTTAATGTGTCTTAAGGGTGCGACTCTGAATGGTTGCCTAAGTCTGACGGGCAACTTGACATGAGAAAAACAAGTTCATATTTACGGAGAACAATAGTTGTAGAAAAGCAAAGTGCGCCGAGTAGAGGTGTAAGAGCCAGAGTAAGGATTTTTGTTTGTTTGTTTGATTGTTTTAAAAGGATAATGTGGGGTTGGCGTTTTAGGGGTTAGTTGGATATTCATGGAAGAGGTTCTGCGGTCTGGATTGAGGTTGGAAGTTCATACCACGGTTCTGGAAAGGGACCATGAGCCACGATGAGTAGGCACAACTAAGCTTCGGTCATTAATCGATCGCAGATTGCGTGAGGGAACGTAAGCCTTCAGGAGAGTGATCAAATGAAAACTCAAACAAGCATAAAACTCAAAACATAATGGGACATGCCGCTTTCAAGGAGTATTATTCTTATAATGTTTAATTTCTCACATTAGACTTCTGCTTTTCTCACCCTGACTTCTTGAGCTTTTTTCTGAACCCTTTCTGGATCACCTAGTATCAATTATTCGAATGCTGTGCTGTTTAGGGTTGTCTTGCGTGAGAGAAAAAGGGAATGACAGGAGGAGATTAGACAATCAATGTCTAGAATGCATCTAAATAGATGTCTGAAAAGCCTCTCTTAAACGCAAAGAAAATTACATAAGTTGCTTTACATGCAAGCTTTACATGGTCAAAATCAATGAGATCACATGTTTCCCTCCATTCTGCTATTTGATCTGAATATTTACTGAAGCTATTGACCTTTATCTGCATGATTTTATGCATTCCACATACGCAGCCAAATGACTGCCTGATTGGATATTATGCAGGTGTACAGTTGTTTCTATTAAAGTGAGCAGTGTGTGTATATTACTTACCTGGGGGTTATTTCTGCTGATTATTTTATAAAAGGTCAAATACAATGCAATCTTTACAGACATGTAAGCACAGCCTGTTGAAAAAAAATAAAATAAATACTGACATGATGGATTGAGAAGGGACTAAAATCCCAGAGATACTCTGGTAATAATTACATTACCCCACCTGCATAGGATTGATAGCATGCTTGTAACTCTCATCATAATGCTCTGCCCCAGCCTTAACAGCATTAACAGCTATAAGATATAGTATAAGCATAGAGTAGAAGCAATATGAAACAGCCTGAAGTTACGAGGCCTTCTCCTAGAGGACCTGGTCTTCTATGGGAGGTAAAATCTACACACAAGTACTGATCTCCTTCAGCTTCTCCACAGCATCCGGCTCGCCCTATCATGGCGGTCCCTGTGGGCAAATCATGGAGAAAGTCCAGAGCGCTGTGTACTCTCACTCAGTTCAGTGAAATGAACAAAAAAACATGTGCGCATCCAGACAAACTCTAAAACAACCCCTCAGAGACATTTTAAATGGAATTAAGACCTGGTGAAATACTCTCCCTTCATCACAGCTGACAGTATAACATGATTTCACAATTTCCAGCAGGCTGTCCTAACATTTGTTATGACTGTTATGAGAGCATTACTGAAGAGTCAGAAATTCATTCCCTGCCCTTTTGAATATGGAGCTTGAAAGCTGTGTGAGGGGAAATTACTCATTTGTACTTTGTAATTAGTTTGTTCTTGTTCTGTTTCATTCTTGATGTGAGGATAACGCATAAGAAGGCCATGCCATGTCACTTAGATCAGTACAGAATGTTTATCTGCTTACAGAGACACAAACATGTTCTTCTGTTCAAGGTTCTTCTGTTCTGTTGAACTGCCTCACACTGCTTCTTATCGGTACACAGAATTATGTCATGCTCTGCGTTTCATACATATAGCAGTGGTTTAGTACAAGGGGGTCAGAGCGCTCTCATTATTCTCTCCTGCTTTATTCTATACAGTATTAACCATCTTTCTGTAATAAACCTTTTTACCTTCAGAGGACGAGTCTGCGAGTGTTGTCTAATTTCCATGATATGAATTTATGAGTGTATATTTGAAGTATACACACATCTGTGTATTTCTGAAGCGTATTTAATAGATGTACATTTTTGCCTCTGTTTTTTCTGTGTTGAACTTCCTAAGTGTACAATTTGCCTTTAAAATCCTACACCAATTTGAAATTTGGATCTTGAGATTTCTTTAAAAAAAATAAATAAATCAGAACCCTATATGGATTATTTATTTATTTATTTATTTATTTAAATTAAACAAGCACAGATGACAGACATTAGACTTTTATGTTGTACTCAAATGGCTAGATTCTACAGCAAAGTTGAAATTTAGCTCTTTAATAAGAAGTTATCTATTTCAGTACAACATACACATGCTGAAAGCTCTGAACTCTGAAAGCATCTACTTTTCCCTGGGAATCCTGGATGCTTCACCTCATGCTCTCTCTGAGGCACATGAAGTCAGCCACTGCCTTTTCCCCCCTCAAACTGCTGCTCATGTTAAGTTGTATGACTGTGCAGCATAACACTCTCAGGAAGAAAGCACTACCTGCCATCTTCCGAATACATGAGCTTACAGATGCTTACAAATGGCTAGTGTCACTCTAATAGTAGTAGTGTCACACCATAGATAGTTCCTACCTTAGCTGGCAAACACCTTATTTTGTATTACAGGTGCTCTGATCAGTCCTCTGTTCCACTATTTGCGCCTTGGCCAGTCTGCGCTCCCATTGGTTACATTGCTCCTTCTCCTGGGTCAGCTCCTTTTCTAGCTCTGCCTTTATTCGGTCAAACCGCTAAAGTAATAACAAGCTCTCATATTAGTTGTCCTGGAATGTGTGCTGTTAAGGACTATGGACAATAATCAACTTCTGTTTGGTGTGATGTGTTAGCAAGCTGAAGTAACAGCATGTCCTGAAGTTTCCTTTTATAGTACGACAGCAATTTGGCCAATATTATATTTCTTGATTTATTAATGCTATTAACATGTCTAGGGGTTTAATAAAGTATTATGTCATCGTATCTTACCTTATCTTGACTATTACGAAGTCTGACACTGGAGACTCCTTCCATAAATGTTAAATAAGCATCTCCTTACAGAAAAGTTCACCATCATTTTTGGAGAGGACACAATACCACTTTTTCTTTTCTGATACCAATACAGAACCCCATTTGATATGGTTGTCTTTACAAAAAATAAATAAATAAATAAAACAACTCCTAAGCTTTAACATTAAATTTCACACAAGAATCACATATAATAAATAAAGTATAAATACAGTATAATAAAAAATCAATTCTAACAAAAGAAACATGAAAACAATCGTCACTTTAAATTAAATGTAAAACTTCCCAGTTCCAAAAATACTATCCAAAAATGTATTTCCTAAATCCAATTCTAATCTTTGCCATTCCTTACAGGATGTAATATCTGAGATGTTTTCTCTGATATCCAAGATGCAAAAATGGTGTCTTGTTCACCAGACCCTAGTAAAATATCCTTTTAAAAAAACATCATCAATTAACAGCACCGCTAAAAGAGTCATTACGTTACTGTATGTCCATTACGTACATTATGTAAAGTAAGAGCCGTAGGGTGTCTGATACAATTAAGATCAGGATCGGATAATGCATCTATTTGCATAAAGTAAAACTCCCTCACTGTTGACGAAGCGTAAAAGCACGTCGATTCGCATCTAACAATGCATGTTGGTGGCAAGTAAAATCACTCCGCTTGAGGCAGAAAGAGAAGCGACGTAGAAGCAGTGATTTGTGTGCTCTTTTCTACACTGGTCTTGTGTGAACTGATATTGGATAGTACTGCTGTAGGCTTTAACACAGCACAGGGACGGTAATGTACCACACAATATATTAGCCCAATACATAACACTCACTGTCCCAAGAGTACAATAACGTTAAGATTATTGCAAAGCAATACTTGCTTTAACATTTTATGATGTGTTATGATGCTTTTG